GGGGCCTCGTCCCCTCACATCCTCATCCCGGCTCCGCCTAAACTCACCTCCACGGCGGCCCCCACCCTGCGCACCTACTCCCGCCCCATCCTGCCCTCCCCAGCCTCCAAGGCGTCTCCTTCCTCCTCCTCTGTTGCCACGGCGACCGCAGCTTCACCCGTGGCCTCGTCTTCGTCGGCTGCGACACACGGCAGCACCACGACCTCCACCAAGATGTCCAGCGGCCTGACCAATGGGAACACCCGGGGGGGGCCCACCTCCCCGCCCATCACGCCGTTCCACACCCCGGCCAGCCCACCTGGCCGCCAGGTGAGTCAGCACCTGAGGAGGAGGAGACACTGTGAAGGATTGTTCTTTATTTGAAAAGGTGAAGAGCAGAGCTGGTTTGGAGTTAAAGTTAAACTAATATTCAGTTTTTGCTGCTTCTGTCAGGTTTTGGTTTCCTGGGAGTTTCTGAAAAAAAATCTTAGAAAAGGAGCTGACTGAGCAGCAGCTAACGATTATTTCAGTTACCAATTAATCTATCAATTATTCTGATGATTAATCGATTAATAGAATAAAGATAGGCTCATTCTTCAGATTTTTCATTTAAGCATCAAAGGAGCTTTTAGACAATTTTAGAAATACATTAAAAGATGCAAATAAACAAATAATTTAATTCCCTTTTTTCATTTATTATTCTAATGATTAACCGATTAATCGGATGAAAAATATCCTGCAGATTTTGTATTTAACCACTTAAGCCTTTTATGCAACATTAGCAATAGAATAAAATATGCAAATAAACAAATAAGTCAATTTATTTTTAAATAAGAAAATAAACATTTACTATTCAATTACTCTAGCGAGTAATAGAATAAACATTTATTACTTTATTATTCTGCAGATTAATCAATTATTTTTGATTAAAAGAATTGTTAAGTTCTGGTGTTTTTTCATTCATAATCCTTTTATTCAATATGAATGCATTAAAAGAAGCAAATAAACAAATAAATTCCCTTTTTAAGTAAGAAAATTAACATTATTTTATTATTCAGAGTATTAATTATTAGACAGACTCTCACACAGTCTGTCTAACCTGCATGTCTTTATTAAATTCATTTTATTAATGTAAACCAAGGATCATCTGTTCATCTGTTCCTGGTTCTTCGGACCGGTTCTGTTTCCAACATCTTTTCAGTTTCTGACCCAGAGGAAGTCGAGACGTTTTCCACCAGCGGGAGGATTTGGGTTTTTAACAACAGAACATGGATGAAAGTTTCCTGGGATTCAAACTGAAAAAAACCATCAGCAAAGAAAAATGAAGAATTAAGATACTTAAGCCTGGACAGTTTATGTTTAATTATAAGTTTATGTTAAATTTAGAGATAAAGAGCTGATCTAAAGGTTTTATTTCCTCTTATTTCCAAGCTTTAAAAACATTTTCTAAAGCTGTTAAATTGTATTAAACCATAACTGCATTTCAATATAAAAATTAAACCCATATCTGCTTTGTTACTGCAGTTTATTGGGTCTATGTGGTATTTCAATAGATATTAGTGATGTTTTAGTAAAATATGATCGTCAGTAAAACTGGTGCGTCATTAGCATTTCAAAGGAACATTTCATGTCTCTGTATCTGAATCCGGCCTGCAGACCAGGCAGGATTCAGGAAGTGATGCGTTCAGGGTCAGAGCGGCTGCTCTCTGGGTCAGAGTTGTTCTCGCTCTCTGAGGTTTCCTCCGTTTGCTTTCATCTCACAGCTTCACAGCTTCAGCATCACGTTTAGCTTTTACTGTCAGACAAAATGCAGCTGAAATGTGAGAGAGGCACCAACAGAAAAGACGTTTACGTCTGGAAATCCCTCCAAAAAGCAGAACCAAATGACTTTTATTCTCACGGTTTTTTTTAAACTTTTGAACAGTAATTCAGTTTATTTATATTGCATTCATTCACAACACAGGTTGTCTTGAGGCATTTTACACAAAAAGTAATTTCAAATCGCTCTCAAATGAATTCCAGTTGATGCAGATTGAGACTTTTTATTATTATTACTGCCATAATTTTCTTACAATGGAAAATGTTTAGTACAAGACAAAGTATCTATATTTTTATAACGAAGTTGGCATATATTTTTGTTACTTTTGTTCCTTAAACATAAGTAGTAAGGAACAGGTGTGGCTCATCGGGTTATTAATATAATTACAACATGATGACTTATTAACAAACAGCTTCAGGCAGCAGAACCAGGTTTGGTTTGCTGGGAATCAGCAACGTCTGGTTTTTAGAAAGTCTCTTAAAAAGCAAACAGATTTTCTGGATTAAATCCACTTGGTGCTAAATTGATTTATTTATGACATGGTCCATATTTAAGGTTCACAGCAACCCGATCTGGACTTTGAGAACTGATTTAAATCCTGAATCGGTTAAAATCTTCAATTCGCCGTTTTCTTGTTTCCGTTGATAGAAAGTTGATTGTTTTTAGTTCTTTTAAAGTTTTGCAGTGAAACAAAGAGGTCGGGTAAACGTGAGCAGCAGCTGCGGTCGGTTAGCTTTGGGTTTGTCCAGGAAACTCGATGATTCACAGCGGAACTGATGATTCAGCTGTTTTTAATGAACATCAATCTAAACTAAATGTCTCAATTCTCATTAAAATGCAGCAGAATCTTTTTCTCCTTTAATCTCGTTCTCTGTCTTTGTTCCAGGCGCAACAGCCTCACCCTGTGGGCACACCTGGTCTGGCACGAGCCAATCAGAGCGCCTCACCTGTCAGGCAGAGGGTTACCCAGCAGACTTTGCTCCTGGGGAAAGGCCTCAAAGGGTCGGGGCAGGACCAGGTGCTGCTGAGAGCTCAGATGGTAAACACACACACACACACACGCGCACACACACACACACACACACACACACACTGCTCACACACATACACGCATGTTTGTGTTGCTATCTTTGTGGGGACTTTCCATTGACTTCCATTCATTTCTACAGCCTAAACCTGACCTTTACCCTTTTCCTAACCCTAACCAACCAAAACTCAATTCATACCTTAGCCCTAACTCTGACCCCTGACCCAAAAACAGGGTTTCCCCTCATGGGGACCGGAGCCTGGTCCCCATGAGGAGCAATTGGTCCCCACAACGTAGTATATGTCAGGAAAATCGTCCCCACAAGGTATTATAAACAAACGTGCACACACACACACACACACACACACACACACACACACACACACACACACACACACACACACACACAGACACACACACACACACACACACACACACACACACACACATTTTCAAGATCAGACTGAGATCGTCATGCTTTTAAAAACAAAGGTGTTTCTAAATTATATTTTCAGGCCACATTTAATGCAGTGATGCAGTCGGAACCCCAGAGGCGTTTTATTAACAAAATATTAACAAAATACATAAATAAATAAAACTTTTTTTCTTTTCTTAATAGCTATGGATCCCTAAACTGCAGAACATTTTCTGCAGTGATGCCTTTCCTTTTGTTTAATTAGATACAAGTAAAGTTTATGTTAACATTAAATAAATACAACTGATTGACGCCGGTGAGGTTTTAAGTTTGGGTAAATTTTGCAGTTTCTGAGAAAATTATTAAAGCCATTTTAGATCCATGGCAGCTAAGAAAAGGAGAACATTTCTGCTAGAAACACTCAAACATTTTCTTGAAAAAACTTGGAAATTTCTGAGTTTGAAAAGTGTAAAATTTTCTAGAAAATACTCAGAAATTTAGAGATTAACTACAGAAATTTTCTAGAAAGTTTCTGAAATTAATCTCAAAAGGTTTTTGTGGACATTTTACTCCTTTTTTTTAAATAATCTGTAGATTAAACTGAGAGGAAATGGTTTTATTTTTCATGAATGCTCAGCTCTGCCTTCCTGCTCTCCTCCCTTCATTTCCTCCTCGTTTTTTCTGCCTCCTCGGATTTCCTCACAGCTCATTCTTACGTCTGCTATGCGACCTGCACAGCCGCCCTCTTCCTCCTCCTCTTCCTCCTCCGTCCTCTCCTCTAACCCCGCCTCCGCCCAGGTGAGCCTGCCGGATCTTTATGCTTTCCTTTGACTAGCAGCAGCTTCAGTTGTCAGGCTGCCCGGTAACCGTTGCTAAGCAGCGGCTGGTCCTTAACCATCGTTTCTCTCCCGGTTCCCCTGCAGCTGCAGAGCCTCACCTTGAGGCCTCCTCCCCCCGGGACCCTCACCATCCCCCCGTCCCTGCGGCTGAAGCCTCCCTCCTCGGCGCCGCCGCCCCTCTCTCGGCCCAGCGCCCCCGTCTTCCCTCCGCTCAGGCCGCGACCGCAGCCCAGCGCCACGGCAACCGAGAGCCCGACCGCGCCCGGCCGCCATCTTTCCGTTCCGCCTCCAAGTAGGGCCTCATGTTTCTTATAAAAGACATGATTTAGTTTATGTTTTGTCCATTTAGATAAACTTTTATCTTTATTATCGTGTTTTTAAATCAACATGGGTGAATAAAACATCATATTCCTGTCATTCCTGTAAATCTGATGTATTATATTTACTCCGAACTAAAGTTTTTACAGTTAATCTGTTGGAACAAGAACAAAAAAAACCCAAAAACTTTTCCAGAATTTGTACATTTTTTACCTAGAAAGAATTAGTTCAAGCAGTTTTTCTTACTTTTTCCTGTAATTTAAACTCTGTATATACATTTTATGGAGACATTTAAAAAAACATTTTCATTAATAATGAATTCAAATTCATAAATGCTTTATTAATTTCAAAGGGAAGTTAAATGATTACATAATGACAATTATAATAACATATAATAATAATAATAGTAATAATAATAATAATAATAATAATAATAATAATAATAATTCAGTGTTCTCACACTTGGAATATATTTACAGTATGTTTTATATTATTACAGAGTGCAACATCATATGATTGGATTACACAATATCATTTTATTTAGAAATTATCCTCATCATTATTATTAAATAAAAATAAAACCTGTCTCACTGTGTAAGTTCAACAACTCCACCAAATCCCACTAACACTTCATTGATCCCCTGGCAAGACTTTACTAGGCTTTACAAAGACCTCACTAAGACCTTGCTAAGACTTTTCCAAGATCTTACTGAGACCTAGTGACCCCTTACCAACGGTAGATGACCTGTACTTGTCAAGGCTGTCCTAAGACCTCACTGAGATTCCACTGAGCCCTTACCAATGGTAAATGGCCAATACTTCCCAAAGGCCTCGTCAAGACTCTGGAAAGACATTCTTCTTATACTCTTACATCGTAGCTGGGTCTTTATCCTGAGTGAAAGAGGTTTTTAGGTTTTAATCATGAACTAAACAGTCAGAAAACCAACCTCTGTATCCACAGTAAGCTTCAAGTCTAAACCAGTAATCATGCCTCGTTTTAAATGTTCATGTTTAAAAGATTTCTTCCTCTTTGCTTCTTCCAGCTCTCTACTCTCCCGTCCGGGCCGTCCCTCTTCGACCCAGGCTTCTCTCTCCCAGCAGTCACAGAGCAACAACCCCTCGACAATCCCTCCAACCCATCGCTGCGGCTCCCTCCAGCCAGGCCACATCTGTCAGTAAGCAGCTGACTGGGCTAAAGAGCTCTCCGTTAACTCAAACCGTTCTGGGTCCAAGCCCGTCCCAACACAGCCCGTTATCTTCTTCCAACCACTTTGAGCGCTCACCGTCTGCAGCGAGGCAGCTGCAGATGATCGCCCTTTCCTCCAGTCAGCAGCCACAGGCGGGAACGTATCCCCACCCTGCGGTCCAGTCCAAGCCCGCCGAGCTGCCTGAGCGTTCCAGCCAATCAAAGAAGACTGCAAACAAGGACGACTTGAATCCTCTTCCTTTGAATGCCTCTGCTTTACCTTCTGCTCATTCTCACACACAAACTTTGACCAAGAAGAGAGAGCAGAAGGAGAGTGACGATCAAGGACCCATAAGCCGAGGAGTGAGACCAGGAATCAGAGAGGAACGGAGCGCCGGTAAAGACCTCCAGGCAGAGAAAAATGTCCAAACGGAGACGATAAAGCAGGAGAAGCTCACTGATACGGAGCAGGAACCCGAACCGGATCAGATGGAGGTAAAGGAAGAAGACCAGAGAGACAGAGAGAGGAGACAAACAGGAAAGAAAAGGAAACATGAGGAGGTGGAGGACGAAGGAGGAGATACTCCCATGGATACATCAGACCGCCAGACCGACCAGAACACAGAACCGGCTCCACATCCAGACATCGTCAAAGACTCAAGCAAGGAATCAAAACCCAAACTGGATCTCACTCCAGCACCAGTAAAAACTCCATTAAAAGCAACAGTTTCAGTCCAGAATCCAGTAACAGAATCCGTTCCAGGTGAAAAACCAGTAACAGGTCCAGTTCCCGTTAAGGTTCCGGTAACAGGTCCAGTTCCCGTTAAACCACCAGTAACAGGTCCAGTTCCTGTTAAATCACCAGTAACAGGTCCAGTTCCTGTTAAATCACCAGTAACAGGTCCAGTTCCTGTTAAAACTCCTGTAAAAGGACTGGCTTCCACTAAAACACTGGTAACAGGACCAGTTTCAGTCCAAACACCAGTAACAGGACTAGCGCCAAATAATACCCCAGTAAAAGGACCAGCTTCAACCCAAACTTCAGTAACAGAACCAGTAACACCAGTACCAGGACCAGCTGCTGTTAAAACGTCAGTAAAAGGACAAGTTTCGACTAAAACCCAAGTGACTGGACCACTTTCAGTCCAAACTCCAGTAACTGGACCAGTTCCAGTCAAAACACCGGCAATGGGACCAGCTTCAACCAAAACCCAAGTAACAGGACCAGTTTCAGCCCAAACTCCAGTAACTGGACCAGTCCCAGTTAAAGCTCCTGCAGCAGAACTGATTTCAACCCAAACACCAGTAACAGAGCTAGTTCTGACCTGTAAACCAGTAACAGGACCAGTTCCAGTTAAATGTCCTGTAACAGAACTAGTTCTGACCCATAAACCAGGTATCGGACCAGTCCCAGTTAAAGCTCCTGCAACAGGACTAGTTTCAACCCAAACACCAGTAACAGAACTGGTTCTGACCCATAAACCAGTATCAGGAACTGTTCCAGTTAAATCTCCAGTAACAGAACTAGTTTCAACCCAAACGCCAATGAAAGGATTAGTTCTGACCCATAAACCAGTAACAGGACCAGTTCTGGCCCAATCACCAGCAACAGGACCGGTTCCTGAGGTCCAAAGCCAGCGGCTGCCAGAACTTCAACGGGACCATCAGTCCAACCAGGAGGACTTCTGTGAGAACATGTCGACCCAGTCCGACAATCAGTCAGGTACCTCCCGACACAAAACCTTCTGCTCATTTATTCTGCTCCATTATTGGATCAGACCGGGTCCGATTCTGGTCGCCAAACTTTCCTTCAGAAATCTAATAGCAGCAGATATCATCCCAGTAAATCTGGGTGTTTTCAAAGCTGATAGTCCGGTAGACTCAGTTCATGGTTTGTTTTCACGTTGCACTTGATTCAAACCCTTTGAGCAGCCTGTTCCCCTCCTCGCCTGTGGGGGCGCTGCATCAAAAACCACTCAGAAACCACTGAGTGCAACTTCCTTTTTTACAAAATGGAAACAAAAACTTGAGCTACGTCAGATTTTAGCAGTTGGAGGGTTTCTCTTTGGGTCATTTCGTCCTGCACTGTAGTCCACTTCCTTCTTTTGGAGCGGTTTCTGGTCTGCGTAGCATTCACATACGCATTCAAACTGAACCAGAGTTCACTTCAACAAACCAAAACCGAGGTTTATAGGCGGACCATAGTTTGATTAGCACTCACACCTCACCAAACGAACCGGACTTTCTAGACAGATGGACTGGATGGAGTTGGATTAAATCAGACTATACTACCTTTAATCTCAACGCTCCATCATCTCTATAGCCATCAGCTTTATGTTGCAGGAGAGTCAGATGCTTAATAGTATTATCAAACAAAGGCAAAAAAGAGAGACAAAACCAGAAACCAGAGCTATCATACCCCATATTGGACTAAAATCTTCATTTAAACAGACTGATGCTGGAGCAAACAGGTTCCTGTCAGCTTCAAAATGTAACCTGGCTGACATATTTGTTTCAGTTCTTCTGAAAATGCAGAACAAACCAGATGAGTCAAGCTAGTATGAAGAAAAATTACTTTTTGAGAACTGTGAAGTTTTTTTTTAAACATAAATTTAACCTAATCTTTTTGCTTACATTTGATTCATAAATATTTACTGGAATGTTAATACTGCCTGTTCTTCTGCTCCCATCACATTTTTCAGTTTCCTGCTTCTCCTGCAGTTTGGAAAAACCCAACATGAAAATATCCGATTAGAATTTGTCAAAAAAAAAAAAGTTGTAAAATGTTGCCCTCTCTGAAGCTCCGTAGCTCAGGCTTAGTTTACAGTAGAAACAATTTTTAAGTTCAAACTGGTCAAATAAAGTTTGACTTTATCTGAGTTACCATTTTGATATCTTTTATTATTTTTACACATTTGTTGTTTAAGTTTTAGGATTTATTTTAGATTTTATGGAATGTTCAGCTTTCAGAGTCGCTCATCCATTTGGACTGATTTTTTTTCTTTAAACTACATTAACGCCCGCAGTCTCTTCTCTATATATAGAGTTTATACATCAAAATGTAGGTATTTCTTTCTACTTTCACACAAAGTGTTTCCCACTGCTGTAAGACTTAGTTTTACATTGAATCAATCCAGAGTGTAGAAAACACAAACCCGACTTCCATTATAACTTCTATTGTCAAATCTCCTCCATAAAACACTTTACAGACATAAAACTCTGCATGTGTGGCCATCAGACATTACTTCAACTTTTAGTTTGGTATGTTTTATGATTTAGTTTACATGCTCTGCACAGTGACTATCTGTTTTAGCCTCATTTAGAGTGGTGCTGTGCTCTCCCGCTCCAGAAAAGGAGGGAATCACCATAGAAACGAGAGACTCAGCCTTTTATTTAACATTTGGGTCCTATTTAACATCCAGTTTTATCATTGAAAATATTCAGGATTCCCTCATATAATTTCATGAATTTCCCATCACATAGTTCTCAAACCTCAGCATGTTCTAGTTTTGTTAATTCTTAGCTGTAACTGTGCAGACTGATCAGATTTCCGTTTTATTTCCTCCCAGCGTTGTCCAGCCTCTCCTCCCAGTCTCCTCCTTCCTCCCCCTTCATCGCCTCCTCATCAGAGAACCCTCCCCCCCTGCTCCCCGCCCAGGCCGCCCACCCCACCGATCTCAGCCTCCCGCCGCAGCACGAGGCGGCGAAGGCCGACAAAACGCCATCAGATTCCCATCATGCAACAGAAGCCGAGACTGAACCCATCTACCAATCAGACAATGAGTCTGAGAGCTTCAGCCAATCACTGGGCGCCCCCTGGGAGATGAAGGCGTGGCCTGAGGGGCGACAGGTTCTGACTCACCTGGTGGAGGGATTCGTCATCCAGGAGGGTCTCCAACCGTTTCCTGTAAGAACCCGAAGAAACGGCGTCACTGATCTTACCTAAACATCTGGCATTTACACTTACAAGCCCTTTATACTCTGAGGCCACAGCCCACAAAATCAATCAGTCTAAAATATTTCTTGGTTTTGTGTCCTTTATATTTTTATATTCCATAAATTATTACATTCTTTTTATTTAAATTTAAAAATGTACATTTTAGTTTATTTTAGTTTATTTCTAAAATGTAAATTTTTACTAATTTTGCTGAGTATTTAATTTTTTGTTGGACACAGGATAAGCAGATGTTTTCGTAAATCTGCTTTATTTTTATTCAGTGATGCATTAGTGAAATATTTCATTTTTATATAAAACCTGATTTCCAGCAATAGAATAAAGTAGAACATTTATCCAGCAGTGGTTCCATCTGTACTAAAGTTCAGCCATAATTTCCTCGGTTCTTTTCTTCAGGAACAATAAGTGTTGAATATTAAGTGAACCCTGATCACTGTTCTGTCGTCCAGGTGAACCGCTCCTCCCTGCTGGTTCCGGAGCAGGTGCCCAAACCCCAGGAAGTGAACGGGACCAATGGGAGGCCGGCGCTGCCTGCATCAGAACCCGTGAAGCCGACAGAACCGTCCACAGACTCAGAGGAAGAGGACGGCGGAGACACCGGCGACCTGGGGAACAGTAAGGCTGGACGGAACTGCGTTCTGCGGGTCAGGTGAAACCGAGCGGAACCGGGCTCACCCTGGGCGTGTTTGTTGTGTTCCCTCAGAGTCGGGCCACAAAGACCGGACGGTGCTGCACTGTCAGTTCTGCGGGAAGCGAGGCCACGCGCACAACTTCATGCGCTCCAAACGGTTCTGCTCCACTTCCTGCGCGCGCGGGTGAGAACGACTTCCTCTGTCTTCAGACCAGAACCAGACGGAGATCAGTCCGTTTCTTGGACTGATCTCCAAGAAGCATAGCTTAAAAATATTTTTTTTAAAGATTCATGTCCCCAGCAGGGATCAACAGACAGTGTTTTGGAATCATTGAGTGTTTTCTACTTTTTTGGACAAAGTTGTACCATGATTGACCTGGTCAGGGGCCAAAAGAGAGAAAATGGGCCACAATGATGGTGATTGTCAGCGCTAAGACCCGCCTCCTGGCTCTGATTGGTTGCTTCTAATTAGCATTGGAAGAAAGGGAAGGAGCTCAGTTTTTTTCAATGATTATCTGTCTCACACCATACTTTAATGACATAGCAACCGTTTCAACAAATATGTAGAAAATTTTTTTTATAGAAGTAACTGCAGTTTTATTTACCATTTTTATTTATTTAAGTTAATAAAAATGTTTTCTCAATTTTATTTTTGTTCTTTTGTGCATTTTAGTTGAATATAACAAACCTGTGTTGATTTATTAAAAACATGACATCACAGTCAGGGGGATTTTTTTTTTAAAGTATGTAAATCTTAAACGAAGTGAGTTCTGACCTTTGCTGCAGAGGTAGTGCTGCAGTCCCAGCAGCTGCTGCAGCGGCGGTGGCGCTGGCAGGATGTGGTTCTGTGGTTCTGTGGTACCAGAGCAGAGGCAAACAGCTGGTTAATGCAGATCTGAGCCTGAATCAGAGCAGCAGAGTGGCTCGTCCCTCACCGTGCCTCTGGCTTTCTCTTTCAGTTTCAACGTCCGGCTGACGAAGCGCTTAAGGGCCCTGAGCGCTGGCAGCCGGTCCGAGAGGCCCCGACCGGCCCTGAACCGGGCCGAGTCGGTACCGGGGAAACCTCTGCTGCTGCGCCTGGTAGGAACCCCCATCCAGCCTCCACTCTGACATGACAACACACCTACATGAAAATTACTAAAATCCTCTGGATGCATGAAAACCTGCAGAGGAAACGAGGAAAAGCAGAGAAACTTTTGGGGGTTGTGATCCTCCTGTCAACCTGAAAAACCAGGACACAAAATAATTAGGCTGACATGAAATTATTCAGTTTTCACCATTTTTCTATTTAGATAATAAATTAATATTTGTTCAGATACTCACATTATTCACTGAGTTACTCCAATCTGCAGTTTATACTGAAAGCTCGAATCTGTCCAGACTGTAAGAGGAAAGATGGGGAGTTTGCGTCCTCTGGTGGTTTACATAGCAATGTTCTGGTCCTACGAATTAAAAAAAAATTAACTTTAGTAACAGTTCACTCTCAGATAAAGACTTAAAACAAATATGCAAAATCTCTGTAATGTTTTGTACAAAAGTGAAAATTTAAATTCTTGCTCTAGAAATCACTGAAAATGATTTTCCATTGTTTGTATCAGAACCTTTACATTTCTCTATTTTTTCTTCCACTTTTAACACAAAACAACAAATATCCAACAGATTATTTATAAAAGATAAATGTTGAAATGTAAAGGAAAGTTGTAATAATTGAGTCTATAATATCACATTTAAAAACAAAAGAATAATGCAAAAGATAAATTATAAAGTACCAAATAAAAAGCTATTTCAGAAATTGGAAAAGTATTGATTTTTGTGTTTATGGTTTGTTTGCACATTTAATTCTCATTCTTTTCCACAGTATTTGCGAATCATGACACTATTTCTGTTTAAATGCTAAAAGATTTAAATCGGAGATTTTTACTCATAACTGACAGCAGTTAATTTAGGAAGAGGAGAAATAATGCGTGGACTCGTCCGTCTCTCATCTGTCCCCTTGTCCCGCCTCCTGTCCCCCTGCAGCCCCGGGACCTTTGGAGCGCCGGGCGCCGCGAGAAAGACGGGAAGGAGAAGCCGGCGGCGGCGGAGCAGAAGGCCGAGGAGGAAGACGACGACATGGGGGCGTCCCCGCATGGCTTTGGAGAGGCGGAGGACGACGACGACGACGGAGGAGAGGAGGATCCTGCTGTTGCCATGGCAGCCAGGATGGAGCGGCGGGCGGCACGGCGCGCGCGCAGGGCGTCGGCGCCGGCCGTCACGGCCTCGACGCCGACCACCACGTTCCGGCCCGCCCCGGCCCAGTGGAGCGTGGAGGAGGTGACGGCCTTCATCCACACGCTGCCGGGTGAGTCTCCGCCCGCGGTACAGCAAGGTTGTTACAGACACGTGGACGTTGTTGTTTACATCCGGAAATACCGGGCATGCGCACTATTGTTTTACTTCCCATCTGTAGCCGCGCTGCCGCGGTAGAATAATAACGTTAACAAACCTGGAGATGTAGGTATTATTGATTCAGTCCAGTGGCCACAGCAAAGGGCAAAATAACAGAAAAACAATTACAGAATAACTCAAAACCTTCTTCTTCTTTATCGCTCCCTGTCACTAATGTGTCAGGATTCAACACAGTCAAACATTTTCCACACAGAGATCAGAACATTGAGTCAGTAACTGTTTCATGTTTTCAGCAAATTACAGCTCTCCATTTACACTGGTCCGCAAAGAGTTGGGAGAAAATACCAGTCAGCTGCTTGTTCAATAATAATTTAATACATTTTCTGAGAATGGTATTTTTCGCTGAGTGTTCATCAATGAATAATCATTGATTGATTCTGCACCTAAAAATCAACCAACAGACGATATTTAACTAATAAAAATGAGCAAACACTAAAAACTAATTAAAAGTAATTGTCACAATGAAATAAACTAATCTAAAATGAAAAGCCCAGAGCTGATGTAACCCTGGAGCGAAGCCGCTCTGGAACCAGCGGCGTGATTTACACCCGAACATCAGCAGATGACGGCGACTCGGCTTTCCTGGATCCAATCATCCAATTAAACGTTTCACAAATCACAGAAACCATCAGCAGGCTGAGGCAACTTCTCTCTAACCACAAACTGTCATTGAGCAACCGGAGAAACATCTGGAGGTGGAAGAAAACCCTGAGGGGAGAAAAACTCTGACGCCTCCAACCGTCTGCAGGTTCTGACGCTGCTGATCATCTCCAGGTTTCAGCAAACAGATCTGGTTACATCTGCAGAGAATATCAGCGTTAATCATAAACCGTTAATGTTGCAAACAAAAAGAGGCTGAGATCATCTTACAAACTGACGACACACCCATCTGTTCTTCACAGAAAACTAATCATCATCATCCTCATCATCCTCACACTGAGGTTATAACATTCAATGAAATATTTATTCATTTATTTCTAACAGGTAAAATGTTAGAGAAAAAATAAATTAATTAAGAAGAAAACAAAAAAATACATTGTAATAAAAATCAACTGTCATTAGCAGCGATAACTTCGGTTCACTCTATTATGTTGGTGTTCCCACACCATCATACCTCCTTCACCGTGTTTGTTCCTGCTGATTCGCTGTGTTGGTGCTGACCACAATCTCCAAACATTTCACTTTGGTCTGAATACTTCAAAAAACTATTTTACTCATCTTAGTCCTGCTGCCATCTTGTTTTTAGAGGCTTTGTCGCTCAGTGCTTCCAAAAAGCTGTTCACAGTTTTTCTCTCCTGACCTTTAACCTTTACCCAAGAACAAAGTCAGTTTTCCACACATCTTCTCTGCAGTTTGCATTAGATAAATAAAGCGGGTGTCCTTACTTTCCGCTCATGGTGTGTGTGTTGCTCCGTCAGGCTGCGGCGACGTGGCCGAGGCCTTCAGGCTGCAGGAGATCGACGGCCAGGCGCTGCTGCTGCTGACCGAGGATCACCTGATGACCAGCATGAACATCAAACTGGGCCCGGCCCTCAAGATCTGCGCTCACATCAACGCCCTGAAGAACCAGTGAGAGGACGAGGCGGCGAACCCAGAGGAGGACGCAGAGGGGGCGGCGCTCAGGAGGCAATAAAGACGAGAAATCTGGAAACTTCGGGGTTCGTGTGTTTTCAAAGGACCGAAGCTGACACCAAGGATGACAGAACAAAGTCACAAAAAGAGGAAATTGTTGGTAATTTATAATTTATGATGTTGTGATGGAGGTGTGGCCTTAGCGGACCGGACCGGAGCAGAACCTCGTCTGTGTAGCAGGAAACCACGAGGAGTTTTGTACCTTTCTGTATATTTTACAAGCCACTGGAGTGTACATTTCAAGCTATTTCATGAAGGATTTTCAACATTTAATATATGAAATTTGTCTATTTAGTTTTTTTAGAGCGTGACGTCAATGACAAATCTATCCCTGTAGCTAACATAACCAGTGTGTGTGTGTGTGTGTGTGTGCGCGTGTGTGTGTGTGTGTGTGTGTGACTGAGTGTGTGTGTTAAAGGAAGAAGACGACAATAATCTGTAGAGTTTGTAAGTCATTCATCAAAGTTTAATGTTTTCTATCAACAAGTTCTGGACAGAAACTCGTCTTGGTTCGAAGCGTCGCCATCAGGGTAGCGAGCAGCGTCTTCAGTCGTCACATTTTTATGATATCCTGCTTGAAATTATTTAATAAATGAACAATTAACCAAACAGGCTGCTGGTTTTCCTTCAGACCTCAGAGTTTTGATGGTGCAATGAAATTAATTTATAAAAGATAATAAAGAGAAAAAACATTTTATATGCAAAAGTTAAACAAATAAAACTATTTTACAATGGAAATAATTCAGAATTTCACATAAAACTGTTTAAAATGAAAATGTAGTACAAAAGAATATTTTTATTCATCATTTATCTTAATCATTAACAACAGAAAAATAAAGATTTTTGCAGTTTTGAAATAAGTTTTATTTTCCTACTTTTTATTTGTTTAATATATATATTTATTTTTTCAGTTATCTGACTTATTGTCAGACTTTTATCATTTTCACTTTGCATTTTATTTTTTATAAAATATTACATGATTATATTTTAAAATTTGAACAGTTTAAATGTTATTTTACTAGTGATATAGCATTAAAATGTCATCTTGATATTTTTGGAGGGAGGACTGATTATTAAACACATCCACGACTTTGGGAGCTCAGAAATTTAAAAAAAAACTTTCTATAACATTTCTCAGATTAAACTCAGTTTCTGAGTTTTGACAGACATTTACTCCTGTTTTCCTGCCCATGGTGTCCCTGACACTCTGCGGTTTAAAGCTGCTGCATCTGAAGGAAACTGATTCAGATTCATGTCTCTGAGTTCCTTCCTGAAGATGCAGATCCTGACCTTTGCCCTCCAGATGTCTCAGCTCAGCCCTGCTGCTCCTCTGCTCTCCATCTGGTTCAGGTTTGGATCTGGATTTTCCCTGGTTGGCGTTGGGAGGGGGGCAGGTTCGCGCCACACCCTGAGATAAATCTTATGATTTTCTTTCCTTGTGGATAACGCACAACGGGACACGGTGCAGCAGCTCCTCATCTTATTTCAGACTTTTTGAAACATTTTTAGTCAAGGAAAAGCGTCTTTCAGGGATTTTTTTTCCTTTCTGAATTACGCAGAAGAACCTGCTGAAATTTGTGCTTTATTTACCCAGTAAAGAACATTTGGATAAGTTTTTATTTCCTGGAGACAGGAAAGAAAATAACCAACGGCTAAAAGCCCTCAGGAAGATAAAAGTTGTGTTTTTTGGAACGTGTAAAGACGCACGGCGGATCTCCATGGCGCATATCTGCAGGCAGCTGGTTGGCGTCGGGGGGAGCTGCGTGGGTTGGGTCGGGCTCATCTTCGCCACGGCGACCAACAACTGGGTCCAGACGTGCGACTACTCGGTGGCCACCTGCCTGCGCATGGACGAGCTGGGGTCACGCGGCCTGTGGGCCGAGTGCGTGGTGTCTCCATCACTCTACCACTGTGTGTCTCTGGACCAGATGTTCTCGCTGCCCGGTAAGAAGCTGCTCCTTTAACCTGGTCCTGCTGCTCCTTTAACCTGGTCCTGCTGCTCCTTTAACCTGGTCCTGCTGCTCCTTTAACCTGGTTCTGCTGCTGCTTTAACCTGGTCCTGCTGCTGATTCCTGCTGCTCCTTTAACCTGGTCCTGCTGCTCCTTTAACCTGGTCCTTTAACCTGGTCCTTTAACCTGGTCCTTTAACCTGGTCCTTTAACCTGGTCCTTTAACCTGGTCCTGCTGCTGCTTTCTGCTGCTTTTAGCTACTAGAAAAAGTTTGACTGTTTTTATCATTTAACCACTGAGCAAAAGTCTGAATCCATCCCTCAATGGTAATTTTTAAAAGTTTCTTAATCAATAACTCTCCAGACAGACAGACATTTCAGTGGAAGCCTTTTTCAAACTAGGAGGTCAAATGCAGTCCATATTTTTCAGAATAAAATAACAGAAATATAGCACCAGCCAGTGATATTCACAACATTATCTAATAGAGGCAAAACGAAACCAAGAACACCTTTAGTGAACAACTAACAACTTTTTTCTTTCTTCTTCTTGAAGACCAGAAATATTCTATTTTTCTTCAAAAATATCAAAACAGTTGAGATGGAAAGAAAAACTGAAAAGTTTTATGAAATCCTGCAGCTGCTGTAGGGCTGCAGGAAACCCAACAAATCCATTTCAAACAAAAACATCTCCTAATGTTTTACTTCTGGTTTTTCACCCAAACTTTCAGATTTAACTTTATTGTTCAGTCTCGGAAAGACACCAGATATAAAATCAGCATAAGCTCCTCCCACAACGTCAGGCCTGCACCATAACAAATGTTACTGGACGATAAACTGTCCCACTAATTATCAAAAGAAATGATAATATTGTTATTTTGAGACCATTTTCAATTAATATATTGATCATGACATGGTAATTCAGGTTCACACCTCAGAGACAAACTTTAATTTTGTAAATAACTCTTCACACTGGAACTGGAAGATATTTTAAATATCCAAATTAAAACCAAAAACAATCAATAAACAGAAATAAAAATTACTTATAACCAACAAAATGGATAACAATGTCTGTGTGAACAAAATTATTTATCATCAGAATGGAAATTATTGAGCTCATTCTAACTTATAATCCAATTCATTGATTAATTGCTACACGACTTGAAAAACTTTAACCAATAGTCTCTGCCAAACTATTCAAAAAGCAGAATGTCTTTTACAGTTTTTGGGTGATTATTACATATATTAAGTGTACACATATATAATGCAAAATAATATTATAATATATTTGATATTATGTTTTCTTAAAAATAATAATTAAAACTCTGGAAACATATTTTCATCTCTAATGTATAACTTCCAAACCATCGACCAGCCTAAAGTTTTTGTTGTTTTTTTTGGTTAAAAGGAAACATAGAGTTTCTCCAATGGTCTTAAATGTTTAAGTTTTTGGTTCTCATTTTGTGAACCAGCTGAAAACTTTCTGGAGTCACTCTGAAAATATGCAGAATGAGTTTGGATGTGGACTTTTGCTGCTTGTTAGTTTTGCACAGATTTATGGATAAATGGAGTCTTAATTCCAAACATTGTGGACTTCTAAGTATTAATATGAATAAATAGCTGAACTGAAAACATGTCAGTGCAGCAGTAACATGTTTGAGGAGATGCTGATGGTTTGAGACGTGCCTCCCAGTGCTCCCAGTGCGCTGCTTTCCAGCAGCCGCAGCTCCAGATGTGAGCGCTGCGGCGTTGGCAGCATCATAACCAGATGTTTCTCCGTGTCTGGCAGCGTACGTCCAGGTGTCCCGGGCTCTGATGATCGCCGCGTGTCTCCTGGGCGTCCCCGCCTTGCTGCTGGTCCTCATGTCCATGCCCTGCATTCGGTTGCCTAGCAACTACTCCGCCACCGTTAAGAAGCGCCGCACCCAGGTGGGCGGCGTCCTCTTCATCGTCATGGGTGAGGAAGACTCCAGAGACACATCATTTCCCTGAACCAGTGGAGTTCACAGGGAACTGTTAAAGGATTCACACCTCTTCAACTTTTTCCCTTTTAAAAAAACAAACTTTAATTCATTAGGATTTAATTTGACCAGCTTTAAGCTGTTGGTTGTGAATTTCATAAATCTTTGCAGTTTGTTGCTCATGAAAAGGAATGTAAAAAAAAAGATTTCTTTTCTCCTGAGTGAAAAGTATTTCCAGCTTTCAGCAGAAGGTATTTTTTCTGCATTCTGCACACAGCTGTGGTCTTGGAGGATTAAAGGTTATTTTATCTGAACTTAATGTAAGTAAAAATGCAGATTTTGTTTGAAATGAAGCTGGATTTTAAACAGATATCCTCACATTAACCTCCTCCCTGACAGAAAGTGAAAATCTCCCCAGGCTCTGCAGTTTGGCACCTCCAGCTTTACTTTTTGTTTTTGAGATTTAATGTAACTTTTATAAAAATATGTTATTTAGATATTTGTTAACTGTCACCAGGTTGTAACAGTTTGTTATGAGACAGATCGATCTCCTCACCTCCTGTCTGAGCTACTTTCTGAAGAAATGCACCAAAAGCAACCAATCAGAGCCAGGAGGCGGAGCTTACCGCCATGCTAACTAGCCTTAGCATTCATGACAGGCTATGCTAGCTTTAGCCGGGATGAGCAGCACCACATGGAGGGTGATTGACAGCACTAAGACCCGCCTCCTGATTATGATTGGTTGTTTCTGGTCAGCACTAAGAGAAGACAGAGGAGGTTGATTTTTGCACAGATGATCTGTCTCATATCGTTCTAATATACAGGCAGCTTCAACAAATATGTACAAATATTTTTTATAAACGTTTCATTCTGCAGCAGCTTTAAAGATATTTTTTTAACTTTGTAGCGTTTGAGTTGTCTGTAGTTTTTCAGCTTCTTGATTGTAGGAACAGCTTCAGAGAACTGAGTTTAACACTGAGCAGCTGGAGGACATATTTACTCTTCCAGGACTTTCATCTGGTCTGTTCAGCCGTTTTAGAGGAGAAATAAAAACAAGAGGCTCCTTCCTGACCCGACTGAATCCGTTTGTCTGATTCTGCTTCCTGGTGGACAGACAGTTCCTGCCCTCTGGACCAGACAGATTCAGAAATGGAACTGATCAGCTTTTCCTCATCCTTTCTTTGTCACACAGCTGTTTTTGGTGCCGTAGCGACCGTCTGGTTCCCCATCGGAGCGAACAAAGCGGAGCACCTCATGTCCTTCGGCTACTCTCTGTACGTGGGCTGGGTGGGAGCCGGGCTCTGCCTGCTGGGCGGCGTCGTCATCCTCTGCTTCCAGGTCGCCCTCATCACCAACCCGTCCAGGGAGAACAGCTTCTTCTACTCCAGACGGGGCGGAACCGCCCGGGAGGTCGACCGCTCCGCCAACCACGCCAAGACTGAACGGGTGTGAGGGGCGACAGGCTTCCCGTCCTGCAGGCGGTTCACCAGCGATGCACCGATCCACCTCTTACCGAACAAAACCGATATCTGAGGTTTGGCATCAGAACTGGCCCTCTACAGCTCAGTTAAAGATGCAGTGTGTAACTACCCTCCATGTTGTGCTGCTCATCCTGTTGTGAATGCTAATTCTAGTTAGCATAGCATAAACAGTTTACCTTATCGGTAAATTGTTTCTCCGCTAAGACCCTCCTCCCGGCTCTGATTGGTTGTTTTTGTGCATTTCTTCAGGCAGCACTAACAGATCAGAGAGGAGGAGGAGGATGTCGATCTTAATAAAAGTTACATACTGCAGCTTTAAATACAACATAGCTTCACAAGCTTGGTCAAACATGTAAAAACAACTTCAGTTTGTTCAGTCAGTGCAATTAGGATTATAACAGCCGATGCAAAAATATATAATAAAGAAACTGACAAAAATAACCGGCTGATAATGTTGGTCAAACATGTTAAAATAAACTGCAATAAACATTTTAAATGGTTCAGAAAGTTCCATTTAAAAGTTACAAATATAATCTAAAATAAATAATAAAGCATGTCGTTACGACCACAAAACATAGAGTTAGGCTCAACAGATCTGCATTTATCAATCAGGCACATTGTCACTGATATCGGACGTAGAATTTCTTTCAAGATCTGGACCAAAACCGATATTGATACTGGATCGGTGCATCTCTAGCTTTATGTATCCATCAGATTTTTTTTTTTAGCTTTAAGCTATTTTATTACTCCGACATGTGTTTCTCTGTTTAAAACGATCCTCTGCTGAGGTGGTGTCTAATAAAGTTGGATCAGAAATTTACCTGAAATGTTTCCTCACGGTGCAGTTCCAGTAAGAAGGTTCTGGGTTCAAATCCCGGCCTGGGTTCTTTCTGCATGTTCTCCTTGTGGATCCGTCCTCCCACAGCACAGAAACACGGATGTTGGCTTATCCTCCTCCTCCGTCCTGTCAGATCCGTTTACACCCATAGACATGAATACGGACTGGGATAGTATTCATGTCTATGTTAC